AAATACATTAAGGTTTATATTTAGCATAGGAAAAAACATGATAAAATAATATAGGCTGTCAGAATGCAAGAACTTTGCCAGAGCAATATCACTTTTGAAGTTTCCTGACTTTTGAGAAACTGAGCTGGAACTATAACTATGGAGCAGTTAGGTACTGTTTCATATTTAATGCTGGACTTTTGCATTTAATTTTCTGTAGACAGCAGGTGTTTGTGGGAAATTTTAGAGTGAGTAAGATTAAGAAAGAACAAAACCCAAAGATCACCATTTCCCCCTATATACAAGCTCTTCACTAATGGTTTAAGGTTCCTGGACCTTATGTGACTACCTAGCTTAGATGTGCAGATTTAGCTGATAGTTTGTAAATTCTGTGCTCTGTATATCCTTTGTGTGCTTTTTAAAATAATAATCTTTTTGTTAATTGAGAACCAATTTTGTCTATTCTTGAGTATCTGAAATGATTTTTTTTTTAAAGTCACAACGATGTAAAATGCCAAAACTGTTGTTTTGTATAGCCCCTTTTCAGAGATTTCACTTATCCAATGAATTTGATATTAAAATGTATTTTAATTTGTAATTATTTGGGGGAAAATTTTAAAGGGTCCCCAATATGACAAAGTAAGTTTTATCTGCAGATGACAGAATTTGTTTGTATGACAAATATTGCAATCCCATAGAGCAGGGGTGGGGAACCTTTCTTATGTCGGGGGCCACTGAGCCACAGAAAAATCAGTCAGGGCCTACACACATGTGAGAAGCAAAGTGACAAGCCCCTAACATAGATTAAATCTACACTGCACAGTTATTTCGGAATAAGATATTCCAGAATAGTTATTCCGAAATAGCTTATTTTGAAATAGCATGTCTACACTAAAGGGAAGCCTCAAAATTAGTTTGGGCCAGGTTTCCCTAACGTAGCCATGCTATCTCGATTCACAGCCCCAGGAGGCACTTGGGAGGAATAACTTAGAATGGCCCTGGTGAGGGGCTATTTCAAAATAGCAGAAGTGGAACATCTACATGCGCCTTATAAATAGCTATTTTGGAATAGAAATAGCTATTTTGGAATAGGCATTATTCTTTGTAGAATGAGGTTTACAGATGTTGGAATAAGACATGTTATTTCAAAATCATTAACACCTGAAAACGGCTATCATGTCCCCCGTCAATCTTCTCTTTTCTATACTAAACAAACCCAATTCCTTCAGCCTTCCCTCATAGGTCATGTTCTTTAGACCTTTAATCATTCTCGTTGCTCTTCTCTGGACCCTCTCCAATTTCTCCACGTCTTTCTTGAAATGCGGTGCCCAGAACTGGAGATAATACTCCAATTGAGGCCTAACCAGCGCAGAGTAGAGTAGAAGAATGACTTCTCGTGTCTTGCTCACAACACACCTGTTAATACATCCCAGAATCATGTTTGCTTTCTTTGCAACAGCATCACATTTCTGACTCATAATTAACTTGTGGTCCACTGTAACCCCTAGATCCCTTTCTGCCGTACTCCTTCCCAGACTGTCGCTTCCCATTCTGTATGTATGAAACTGATTGTTCCTTCCTAAGTGGAGCACTTTGCATTTGTCTTTATTAAACTTCATCCTATTTATCTCAGACCATTTCTCCAATTTGTCCAGGTCATTTTGAATTAAGACCCTATCTTCCAGATTAGTCGCAATCCCTCCCAGCTTGGTATCATCTGCAAACTTAATAAGCGTATTTTCTATACCAATATCTAAATCATTGATGAAGATATTGAACAGAGCCAGTCCCAAAACAGACCCCTGCAGAACCCCACTTGTTATGCCTTTCCAGCAGGATTATTAAACTACTCTCTGAGTACGGTTATCCAGCCAGTTATGCACCCACCTTATAGTAGCCCCATCTAAATTGTATTTACCTAGTTTATTGATAAGAATATCATGCAAGACTGTACCAAATGCCTTACTACTACTGTATTGATGAACTCAAGGACTGTGTTGAGCTATACCTGGTAAACCAAATAAGTGGGAGACTGGAAGTTAACCAAATCTGATGCATTCAAAGTTAGGCCTAAATGGTGAACAAAATAATGAGATGTTGGACCATTCCACCCATTGCCCCTCTTTCAGGACCTTTTAAAAAAAGGACTTTAGAGGCAGGGATGCACAGATTGACTGGGGGATTCTGGAAGAAGTATACTGTGTTCCAGGGACTTCATCCTTCATGTGTGGTCTGAACAGTTGTCATTATTGTAAAGCTCAGATCTCAGCAGGGACACCTAGTCATTACTGCTGCACCAGCAGATACTTCAACTTGACAGACTTGAGATCCTATTCTGTCTCCCCTTTCCTTATGTTCCTTTCAGCCCCTAATATTTTTCTTCTTGTCCTATCTTCCCCCACTACTAGTCTCTCTTTCGGTTTTCCATTTGATTCTGAGGCCACAAGGCAAAAGTACCATCAGACAAGACAACCCATCCAGTTCCATCCAGCTTGAGAGAGACTGGTAAATAAGAGGGACAGCTCAGCGGATGACATACCAGATCTCAGACCAGGAGATGAGCCAGAGACCAGAGTAGCTGCTGTTGTGACCCACTTGCCAACCTAGAGCTTCTGTCTGGGACTCCCCTGCTAACTGAAATCCTGAGAACATCAACAAAAGCCTTATTTCCCCACTTTTCCTATCTTTGCCTCTTTGTGTCTGTCAACAACAAGAAAAGTGACCATCTTTCACATCTTCATAGATTTCAAGGCCATAAAGGACCATTGTGATGATCTTGTCTGATATCCTTTATAACAGAGGCCATAGAACTTCCCCAAATTTCTAGAGCATGCCTTTTGAAAAACATCCAATCTTGATTTAAAATTGTCATGAATGGAGAAGCCACCATGACCCTTATTTAATTGTTCCGACAGTTAATTACGATCACTGTTAAAAATGTATGTTTTATTTCAGTCTGAACGTAGTTAGTTTCAATTTCCAGACACTGGATCGTTTTATACCTTTCTCTGGAAGACAGGAAAACCCATTGCTACATATTTGTTCCTCATGTAGGTACTTAAAAACTGTAAACAAGTCATCGCTTGCATCTGATGAAGTGGATCTTTGCCCACGAAAGCTTATGCTCCAATAAATCTGTTAGTCTATAAGATGCCACAGGACTCCTCATCACTTTTGCAAATTCAGACTAACACGGCTACCCCTCTGATACAAGTCATCCCATAACCTTCTCTTTGTGAAGAAAAGTAGATTGAGCTCCTTGAGTCTATCACTATCAGGAATGTCTTCTAAGCCTTTCTGATCACTCTTGTCGGCATCCAGTTTTTCAACATCCTTCTTGGATTGTGGGCACCAGAACAGGACATAGCGTGCCAGCAGCAGTTACATCAGTACCAAATATAGAGGTAAAATAACCTCTCTATTTCTACTTGAGGTTCCCGTTTGTGCAGCCAAGGATCATAGTAACTCTTTGGACTATTGCAACGTATTAGGAGTTCATATCCACCATTACCTCCAAAACTTTTTCAGAGTTACTGCTTTCCAGGGGAGAATCATTCTTCACCCATACCCACCCTCGTTGTGTTCAGATGGCCTATATTCTTTGTTCCTAGATGTATATATTTGTATTTAGCCATAGGCATAGGGGTTGCTTGAGCCCAGTTCACCAAGTGAGCTGGATTTCTCTGAATCAGTGACCTGTCCTCTTAATTATTTAGCACTCTCCAATGTTTGCTTCATCTGCAAACTTTCTCACTGATGATTTTATGTTTTCTTCTAGGTCAGTGATAAAAATTTTAAATGGGATAGGGCCAAGAACCAATCCACGTGGGACCTCACTATAAACAGATCCACTGGATGATAATTCCCCACTTACAACTAAATTTTGATTTCTTTCAGCCACCTTTTAATCCATTTAATGTCTGCTGTGTTAATTTCAACTTTGTGAAACTAGCCCTTTTAAAGCACAAAGTGCATATCACTGGTTTAGACTTTATTCTGTTTGCACATTACAAATGTGATCAAGTCTTGATCACTTATTCCTAAGCTACCATTATTTTTTAGTTCTGTGATTAATTAAATTGACTTTATCTGTTAGGATAAGGTAGAATTTTTCCTTGTTTGTTGCAATACTTTTTAAATTAGGAAATTGCTGTCTATAATACTTAGAAATTCTAAGGATTTTTTAATAGTGGCATCATGAGGCTTCCAGCTACTCCTATTAAAGTCCTCATGATTACACAGTTTCCCCTCCCCCCCCCC